GTCCAGAACAAGGGGTCAGAATGAACCTCTATAGATTGTTCTTCCCCTTAACCTTACCCTCACTGTTATGGAAATTACAGCATGTGTTCAGTCTTTTGAAGGTCAGATTTTATTAATAGTTTTTTTCAATCCTCTCTGCCTGATGATCTAAACAGACAACTGAAGCAAGTATGAAATCAAAAGCACAGGAATTTGTACCTTTTCACTGGATTGTTGACCTCCTTTGGAGAAAGCTTACAATATAAACACACTGAGCAGTTTTGAATGATTTGTAGATTCAAATTTTGCGAAATTTAGAAGAATAGGATATATTTCTGGAGCAGGAAAGGTTGACACTTTGTCCTTTTGGACTTAAATGGTCAGATTTCTCCCTTCATTTTATAAAAGGGGGCTTCAAGAAGTTTTTGGAAAAATTCTAATATCTTTTAATTCAAATGTCCATAAACTTTTTAAAGCTCCCTTGTATATGTATAATACTAATATATTGTTATTTGGTGCAGTCAGGCCGGTTCTGACACACATCAGCCCTCTGCAGACGAAACATTGCTCAGTCCTGCACCATCCTCACAACTGTTGTATTTGAGCCCATTGTTGCTGCCACTGCATCAGCCCATCTCATTGGGGACTTCTTCTTATTCATTGACCCTCCACTTTTCCAAGCATGATTTCTTTCTCCAGTATAAATACACACTTATGTGTATTATATGCATATGTGTGCTTTATAGGTATATGTACAAATCACATGTACTTATGCAATATATGTAATATGTATAATACATACATGTCAGAGTAGATGTCTCAGTCTCTTGATGTAGACAATAGCTGCTGTGAAGAATAACTTGAGTCCTGGAACTTGAAAGTAAAAATAAGTATTTGTTGATAGATGAATTTGGTATGTTAACTTAGTTGATTTTGATAGCATTTCATTGAATTTTTAATAAGGCCTTTTCACTTAAAATTGAGTTTTCTTATATGTTATTTTTTTTTAAAGTCATTATTTTTCTCTTAAAGGTATGTGTGTGCGTGTGAAACATAAAATTACTGTTTTGTATCCAAAATTTGAATGTATTAGTTAAATGCATTGCATTAAACTTGAAAGTTAGAATTAGGAGCTCTGGTAGCATAGTGGTTAAGAATCGGGCTGTGAACCACAAGGCCAGCAGTTTGAAACTACCAGCTGCTCTGTGGGAGAAAGATGAGGCTTTCTGCTCCAGCAAAGATTTACAGCCTCGGAAACCCTGTACAGGGCTGCCATCATTGGAACTAACTCCAGGGCATATAACCACCACCACCACCACAGACATATTGGGAGGTTTCTTAACTTGGCTTCATTTGATAATAAGACAAGGGTGAGCTGCAAGGTATTTATTGGATGTTAGATTGCGCATTCATTTCAGATTCATGTACTATAAGCACTCTGCACCTGAGTGGGCTGCTGCCTGCAGCACATTTAATTTAAAATCAGATGCCCCAGGGAATGGCACACGTTACTTCCTAGGGGTGCTTCCACAGCCCTCTTTAAAGGAGCCATTTCTTTCTCAGTCTTACTAATTTTCTTGACCATAAAGACATTGGGAAATAACATTTATTGAAATATATTATGTATCATGTACTAGCTGGTTGTGGTGGTGGTGCTTATGTGCTGTGAAGTCAGTTCCGATGCATAGCGACCCTATATAGGGTTTCCAAGGCTGTAAATCTTTACAGGAGCAGAAAGCCTTATCTTTCTTGCCCTGAACCACTGATAATTTCGAACTACTGACCTTGAGGTTAGTTGCCCAACTCGTAACCACTGCCTTACCAGAGCACCCTGAGGTTCTAGCTGTTGTTGTTGCTGTTAGGTGTCCTTGAGTCATTTCCAACCCATAGTGACCCTGTATAGGGTTTCTGAGGAGCGGCTGGTGAGCTTGAACCACTGACCTTGTTGTTCAAACCTACTTTGCAGTCCAACACAGTAACCCACAGCATACTAACTAGGCACTTTATATATACATCTTTTCTTTAAACAAAACAAAACTAACTTTTTATTGTGAACTAGGTGAAGGTTTACAGAGCAAATCCATTTTCCATTCAAGAATTCATACACATTTCATTTCATGCTATTGATTGCAACCCCACAATGTAACATCACTCACTCATCCTACTTCTACCCTGTTTTTCCCATTTCCATTTTTCTTCATTTCCTAACCCATCTTGCCTTCTAAACTTTGTTCTTGGGCAAATGCTGTACTTTTTGTCTCAAATGATTGATTATTCTAAGGAATGTATAGCTGGCTACTGTTATTGCTTCCCTTAGGGACCTGTTGTTTACCAAAAATTCAGCCTCTGGTGGTGAGTTCAGTTCCAGGTCTACAGGGTAACTCAGGGCCATCATGGGAGTCCCAACAGTCTTTATTCAAGCAGTAACCCTGGTCTTTATTATTATTATTATTAATTTTGTTCTATCTTTCCCCCACCATCTATCCAGGACTTTCTATTGTGATCCCTTTCAGAGTAGTGATAGCTAAGCACCTTAAGGAGCCATTACAAACTGATAATAATTAGGAAACCAATAATTTATGGAGTAATGGTGGAAACAAATGATTATGTAGAGGTCTTGAAATGTTTTGTAATTTGTTTTCACTTAAATTGGTAAATACATTCGTAGTGTATAGTACATGAAATTATTATCTTAGTCATTTTCCAGAGTTTTACAGACTTTTAAAAGACATTATATTCTATTTCTGTTTGAGCATGTTATTAAAGTGTAAAATCCATTTTATATTTTATTTTGTTCAGAATGATTTTTAATTTGTGTGTTGTTCTCTAATTTGCTAAGGGTGAAAAAAAATGTAATCTACCTGTAATATTTGTATTTAACTCATTTGTCAGTCTAGTTTGGCTGAAAAGAAAATACAGTCATCTGAAAAGAAAATCTTTACCTTAGATGATCTCATTTTGATCCTGTATTATGAGAAATGGCATAAATACATTATATAAATAAATGGATTGATCTATAAGCTAATTAGACCCAAGAGAGCCTGTGTGTCATAATAAAATGTCTTGTCAATCCTTTATGTACATGAGCTTGTTCTGAACCTATTATTACTCTATTGAAGAGCTATGCTATCTATTAGTTCCTCAAAAGGGGTACAGATAAATGTCAACTTCAGTAAGTGAGAATTGTAATTACAGTTAGCGTGTACTGAGTGAAGTGCTGTCTGGGCAAAGCTCTATGTAAAGTTAGGTATGTAAATAGAACCTCTCAGATAAAACCTTGCTCTGTAATTATTAAGAACAGGTGATTTTTCTCTTCATCCGTTCGAAGGATGATTAGAATCATTTCCCATTTATATTGGTCCATCTCTGGGCGTGTTCCCAGGAAAACCCCAGAAACTCTTTATAAAGAAAAGATCTCAAATATCTTTAAAGAGTGAATATATTGAAGCCCCCTTTTAAGCATTTTACTGATTCTAAATGTAACTGGTGTGGCACTGTAGGACAAGCATTTGGCTACAAGGCCGGTTTGAACCGCAAGGTTGATGGTTCAAATCCACTGGCCGCTCCTCGGAAACCCTATACAGGGTCTCTATGAGTCGGAACTGACCCTGCAGAACCAACTCAATGAAACTTAATGACAAATGTAACTATACATTTGTTGGTCTTTCCAGGGTGCATCTGTTTACAGCACCTTCTCATTAATTCCTGTTTCTCTGTAATGTGTCCCCTCACAGTCTCATTATGAAAAGAGTTTGCAATCTGGTTTTCATCTGCTCTTATTCAATCTTTAGGATGTTGTAAGAGTGCAATGAGAATGTGAGACTATGGGTGATTTTATTTTGTTCTTTCTGTATTTCCATATTTTCTGTAATGAGCATCACTAATTTATGACTGAGAAACATTAAACTTGATATTTTAAAAATAGCACGAAGATTTTTAATGAAATGTCATACTAAGCTCTTTTATTTCTTTGTTTGGGGATAAATTCTAGCGATGAGATGAGAGTTGTAAGCAAAGGTAATTCTTGACACTCTTTCTGATTATCCTATTTGTTTTGTGTGTGAAGAGTTTTACTTAATCTGTTTTTAGAGTAGAGGGTATGTTAATTGAGTGCTCAGTATTCATTACAAATAATCTTGTCTGTTTTCTTGTCAAGATTCTGAAGGCCCTTTTGCTCTTTCAGTAAAAGCCAAGCAGACTGTATTAACTTCTGGTTTAATTTGAAAAATGAATGTGGAACTTGTTGGCGCAACACCTTAAAGAATTGCATGTTTAATAATTGGAAGGCTTTCCATCAGATTTGTCTCCAGTTTGAATTAATAATGTTGCTGACTTATTGTTTTAGAAGATGAAGTCCTTGACCTGCTAGGTTGAAAGAATCGTGACTGCTCTGAACCTTTGTGGGTCCTTTAGCTGTGCTGTATCCCCTGTGAATAATTAGAGGCATTTGAAGGTATTGCGGTAGAAGCCAATTTGTGTCTTTCACTTTGCATATTGTAGAAGCCTCATGAATTAATCATAAGCAGGGCAAAAAAATTAACTTCTTCAGACACATATTTTGATGGGTCATAAGGGAGAATGTAAAGTGATCTGTAAAATATTCTACTGATCCTCTAAATATTAAATTATAATACCTGCAAGGTAATTTCAGGAGGTAGGGGGAGCATTTTTCCCCTTCAGTAACTGAGTAGCAAATCTGGAAAAAAAAAAGCAAGGTTTATTATTTTCCAAGACTGTAAAGGAAATGATAGATAGGTAGACAATTTTGTGATTTCCTGAAAATCAGCTTCTTGTGTTAGCTCTTATTTTAACGTTTTAGCATTTTTTTGCTTTTAATGCAATTTAAACCTTTAGTTGATTTGGTGAAATATATGCATGCAGCCAAACAAATAACTCTTCTTTCTCACTTTAGTCATCTAAAACTATTCTAAAATATTGAATCATTATAATAATTCTGTAGTTGTTCAAAATTTAGTTTTACATTAAATTTTTATTCTATTCTCTGTTTCTTTTTTCCCCAGCCAATGAAACTGAAATTGCATTCTTCTGTGAAGAAGATTACAAGAACCACAAAGCGAATCCCATTTCATCCTGGTGAAGCCCTTGCCTGCTTCCTTTTTGCATTTCTGTAGTAAACTCTTTATTCTACTAGTGAGTTTTTGAAATTGACAAATCTTAAAACGTTAATCCCAGATTCTGCTATTTGAGCTAAAATCTATGGTGATTTTTCATTCTGCAGGTCTCACTTTGCTTCTGTCTTACTGTAAAGTAATATATTTGTTTATGAGAAAAAGTAAAAGAAATAGTTATTCAAAAGTCATAGTGGAATATTGGTAATTTCATCATAATTTGTTTTCTAAAATTAGGGGCTTTTTAGTGACCTGCATGCTGGATTTTTGAAAAAGATTATAAGACTAAAATCATGATGTTTATTTAATACATTCCTTCATAGTTTCTCATTAAAACAACTGTTGCTATTGTTAATTACCAGAGATAATGAGGTTCTATTATGACTGACAGTCCCTCTTGTAGATCAAGAATATGTGATACACACCACCACACATGAAACAGAATTGTGTATGTGTTAGTGGGTTTTTATGATATAAAAAGGCTACTTCTTTCTTCTTTTATTATCTTAAAAAAATCAAAACCCACTGTTGTATAGCTGTTTCGCATTCATGCAACCCTATTTGGGGTTTCTGAATCTGTAAATCTTTACAGAGCAGATAACCTCATCTTTCTCCCTCAGTGGATTTGAACTGCAAACCTTGTGCTTATCCTACAGCACCACAAAGATTCCCTTTGTTTATTATCTCAAGCTGTACAAATAGGCATTGCTTTCTTTTTGCAGATGGGTTAATTAAAAAAAAATTAATTTATTAAAGCTTTTATTATGAATTACGTGAATGAAGGTTTACAGGACAGATCATTGCAATGATTATAGTCCCTTCCATGCACCCTCCGTCAACAGCATTTATCTCTGTTTCCTTTTTGTTGTTGTTGTACACATACCACATTGAAAATGTATATTCGTTTAAATGTCCAAAGGGCACATTTTACAAGCCAGCCTCCAGTCTGCAGGCACACTGCCTTTCTCAATCAATGGATTATAGTCCTCTGCTGCTCTGCCCCTCTATGCCATTGCATCTGCCACCATCTCTGTTTTTGCCACTTTTCTGGTTATAATCCCTTGCTCCTCTTATGCTCTTCCCTCTTGATTGTCCTATGGTCCTCTGTTCCTGAAATGACAGATTAACTGCTCCCCCCTTTTAATTGCACCTCTTCTATGTTTACAGTTGTGACATTCGCCATTAGACCTGATAACAGATACTCACAATTGAGTCATAAAGTCCTATCCGCCTCATCACCAGACCCATCTGGATAAGAGGAAAACTCTTCAGTACTGTTTCTGTCTTACTCTCTCCTCATTCTAACACTAAGTACCCTGATGAAAGCTTGCAATCCTGCTTCTTTGTGCCTTTATAGTCTCCTAATTTTGATAGCTGAAGTCTAAGTTGCCCCTCTCTATCAGCCCAGTGTACTGAGGAGGCATGGTTGATCCTTGATATGAAGAATCCTTCCCTATTCGGTTGGAATTTTGGGTACCTTCATCCGTAAGCAAAGATAATTAAAACCTCACTGTCCTGTACACAATTCAGTTTCATGTGTGGTGGTGTGTATCACACATAAGAACATGTGACAGTACTGATGGTCATAAGAGACTCTCTTATCTCTGGTAACTGATGACAGGAACAGTTGGTCTAATTAGAAACTATGAAGCAACATATTATAAACAGAATTATTTTATCAGCCTACACAAATAACCTTGCTGAATCTTTTTTCTGAGTTGTTTCCTGAATTCAGGAGCAAACTATAATTGAACCAAACTCATTTATTTGAAGAGAGGTGGTAGCAAAGACATGGGAGATCAAGGGAAACAGATGCAAATGCTGATCCTCAAACCCTGAGCTTCTGAGACTAGGACAGAGGACAGAGAGATGGGCTGCTTGTTGACTGCAAGAGGGAGGTAAACAGGAGCAACGAGACAGAAGAAAAACAGGCGAGCTGTCAGCTAGTGTGAAGTGGCACTACCATCTCGAGGTTTTACAAGTGGCTGTCAGTCAGTAAAGAGGCCGGCAGGCAGAGGATGCAGCTGGAAGTTGATTGCAAGGAAAGTACAGTTCTCACTTGTTCTGTGCCCTCCTGGTATCCGGGGGATGTGGCCAGTCCCTGCCTTCACCAAACCAGTGGTCAGTGGCACTGCCTCCTGCAAAGCTTCTACTCTGCCAGGGTCAGGCACCAGGAGTGCCAGCCCTGCTTCTGGAGGTATGTAAACTTGCCCTGAACTTCATTACACAGTGAACAGGGAACTACATTCACACTTCCAGTCATTATCACACCTGCCAGAAGACAGATGGTGAGTGCTTGAGCATGCACCAACATATATAAATATGATACCATGACATCTCGGAGAAAATGGACGATTTCACCGTACACAAAGAAACAAGACAGAGTACTTCAGACAAGGGACAAAGATACAGAGTCAGAAATTATAATACCAGAAATGGTATCAGAACTGCTGGATAAATAATTTAAAAGAATGTTATTTAGGTTTGAAGGAACCTTCAGTAGATTGTTGAAGATTGAGAAAAGCAAGAAAAACACAGAAAAAACTTCAGAAGAATTCAGGAAAACATTACAAGGAAAATACTGGCAAAATAAATGAAATATTGGAAACCATGCAAAAACACCAGAAGATCAATATTAAGACTTCATAAATAGATAATACATTGGAAGGGCAAAGAAATTTTTTTTTGACAGCAACATATTAGACAAGGGGCTCTAAACTTTGTAATTTATAAAGTTTATAAAAATATTTATAAAATATCTTAATGACAAAAAACATAAACAATCCAATTTAAAAGTGGGCAGAGGTTGTGAACAGATACTACACCAGTAAAGATATTCAAGAGACTAACAAACACATGAAGAAATGCTTAGTATCATTACCATTGTTGTTAAGTACTGTCAAATTGATTCTAACTCATAGTGACCCCATGTAGAGCTTCCAAGGAGTAGCTGGTGGCTTTGAACTAGAGACCTTGCAGTTAGCAGTCCAGTGCTTATTCTATAGTGCCACATCAGTGCCCTGATCATTAACTATTTTGTTGTTGTTGTTGTTGTTAGGTGCTGTCGAGTCAGTACCCACTCATAGCAACTTTATGCACTACAGAATGAAACACTGCTCCATCCTTTGCCAACTTCACAATCGGTGCTATGCTTGAACCCATTACTGCTGCCACTATGTTAATCCATCTCGTTGGGGATCTTCCTCTGTTTTGCTGACACTCCACTTTACCAAGCATAATGTCCTTCTCTAGGGACTTGTTGCTCCTGATAATATGTCCATAGTATGAGAGATGAAGTCTTGCCATCCTGGCTTCTAAGGAACATTCTGACTATACCTCTTCCAACACAGATTTGTTTGTTCTTTTGGCAGTCCATGGTGCTTTCTCCTCCAACAACATTAACTCAAATGCATCAATTATTTTATGGTCATCTTTATTCATTGTCCAACTTTCACTTGCATAAAAGATGATTGAAAATACAATGGCCTGGGCCAGGCACACCTTAGTCCTCAAATTGACATCTTTGTTCTTGAACACTTTAAAGAGCTCTGATGAAGCACACTTGCCTAATGTGATATATCATTTGATTTCTTGACTGCTGCTTCCATGAATGTTGATGACTGAGCTGATGAAAATAAAGTCTTTGACAACTTTAATCTTTTCTCCATTTACATGGATATTGTTTATTGGTCCAGTGGAGAGGATTTTTGTTTTCTTTACATTGAGGTGCAAACCATATCGAAGGCTGTGTTTTTTTATCTTCATCAGTAAATATTTTGAGTCCTCTTCGCTTTCAGCAGGCAAGGTTGTATCATCTATATATCACAGGTTGTTAATGAGTCTGCCTCCAAATCCTGCTGTAACATTTTTTTCCCCAAATAATCCAGCTTCTCAAATTATTTTCTCAGGGATATCCCATATGAGTAAAGTTTTGCTAAAGGTAATACAGAAACGGCTACAATCATATACTGACAGAGAACTTCCAGAGGTTCAAGCCGGTTTCAGAAGAGGCTGTAGAACGAGGAATATCATTGCTGATGTCTGATGGATCTTCGCTGAAAACAGAGAATATCAGAAAGATGTTTACCTGTGCTTTATTGACTACGCAAAGGCTTTTCATTGTGTGCATCATGACAAGCTATAGACAACATTGCAAAGTATGAATATTCTGGAACACTTAACTGTGCTCATGAGGAATCTGTACCTGGACCAAGAGGCAGTTGTTCGAACAGAACATGGGAACACTGGTTTAAAATTTAAAAAAGTGTGCAACAGGGTTGTATTCTTTCATCATACTTTTTCAATTTGTATGCTGAGCAAATAATCCGACAAGCTGGGTTCTATGAAGAAAAATGTGGCATCAGATTGGAGGAAGACTCATTAACAACCTGTGATATGCAGATGATACAATCTTGCCTGCTGAAAGTGAAGAGGACTTAAAACATTTACTGATGAAGATCAAAGAGCACAGCCTTCGGTATGGATTACATCTCAATGTAAGGAAAACAAAAATCCTCACCACTGGACCAATAAACAACATTCTTATCAATGGAGAAAAATTTGAAGTTGTCAAGGACTTCATTCTTCTTAGATCAACTATCAACATTCATGGAAGCAGCAGTCAAGAAATCAAAGGACGTATTGCATTAGGCAAATCTGCTGCTCAAGACCTTTTTAAAGTGTTGAAGAACAAAGATGTCAGCCTGAGGACTAAGGTATGCCTGACCCAAGCCACAGTATTTTCAATAACCTCATATACATGCGAAAGCTGGACCGTGAATAAGGAAGACCATAGAAGAACTGATGCTTTTGAGTTATGGTGTTGGAGGAGAATATTGAAAGTGCCATGGGCTGCCAAAAGAACCAATAGATCTGTTTTCGAAGAAGTGTAGCCAGAGTGCTCCTTGAAGGTCAAGATGGCCAAACTTTGTCTCTCATACTTTGGACATATTGTCAGGAGGGACCAGTCATTGGAGAAGGATATCATGTTTGGTA